CGTGGACGGGTACTTATACATCCCCACAACAAAAACACACTAAGTACAGATCTGAGAGTACTAGCAGTTACTGACAGCTGCTAGTTCAATGCCAATAACAACTAATGAAAAAAATCATGTATGTAAGACTAAAATATCAATCAGTACACATCCAACATCCAATGGATTTAGTGTAAAGACGTCATTTACAGTCAGAGAAAAACATGACCTTGTGCAATGCCAAACTATAGATATCGACAGATTGTAGTACCGTGGAAGTACATATGTACAATATTTAGTATGGTTTTAATTCACTGATAACAAAATCAATATTTATATCAATAAAAACAGTATTCAAAGATTTAATTACAGTGTTGAATAGGTAACCTTTTAGAATAAGTTTATTTAAAGGATTGATAAGTTTACCCGGATCGTATCTAAATTTCTGGGCTCGGTTTACAACATCACCTTTAAATTTAGGATGTGCTATTCCGTTTGAAATAAGTTTTCTACAGGTACAGCCAAACTTGCAGACCAAATCTTTGTATCTATGGAAGAATTTAGTAAAGGTTTTAAGTAAATTTGTGGTAACGAAATCCCTGACTTAATAATTTACTAGTAATACATAGATTACGCTCATTGAAATCCAAAACGTCACAATAGACACGAAGAGAGCGAACGAGTTGGGATATAAAAACACCGTAAGACAGTGCCAAAGGAACATCACCGTCCAAAAAAGGAAAATTAACAATAGGGAAAGAAAAATCATCCCTTTTGTCGTAAATTTTTGTGTAGAGTTTCTGGTGTAATACTGAAATATCTAAATCTAGGAAAGGACAGTTATTGCTGTTAATATTTGATTTATTTAAAGTAAGTTCCTTTGGGTAAATTTCAGCAGTATATTTAGAGAATTCTTGGTTTTTTATAACGAAAAAATATCATCAAGATAACGGTAAGTGTTGTTGAATTTATCAATGAAATGGAATTTAGACGGTTCTTTACTTAGTTTGGCCATAATCTGTGATTCATTACAGTAAAGACACAAGTCTGCTATTAAAGGGGCACAAGTTGTGCCCATAGGAATACCTACAACCTGTCGATAAACTTTATTGCCGAAACGTACATACATGTTGTCAAAGAGAAAATTTAGTGCTTTAATCATCTCATCACACCTCCAGTAAGTATATCTAGCATATTTACCTTTCTCATTAGAGAAAAAGGCTTTATATGAGTTGCAGCAAATAAATTTGCAACCTGATTTATCAAACGACCATTTAATTAGATAGGATAACTTTTGTTTGATAAGATTTTGTGGAAGTGTAGTATAAAGAGTGGAAAAGTCAAAACTGTCAATCGCATCAAAAGGACCATCAAAAGCACGTAATTTATCTAAAACATCCAAAGATTTTTAACACTCCAAAAATGGTTAATGCCACTGTTTTCATATGTTTTACTACAAAAATTAATGATAAGTTCTTTTAAGTAGTTAAGGAACTCGTTAAAAGCACCGAGAGATTAGTAGTAGAACACTTACTAGAGGCCGAGATGAAACGATATTTTACGTTTTTTTTTTGTGTATTTCAGGTAACCAATACATAGTGGGGACCTTCAAATGTTCAGGGGAGGCCTTAAGCTGAGCTGTGGTAGTGACATGATTATTTAATATATGACTCTCTGTGGAGCGTACGGCCTTGAATGTAGTTGAATGTAAAATTTCATTCTTAAGGACTCCGTGTAGTATTTACGTCATACCACCACCACATTGTTGGCTGCTTTGTCGGCCGGTACGAACTCAACACAAAACGCTTTGATAGTACTTGAATTTTGTTTTTAATCCTAGAAATGGGCGTATTACTTACTCTTTTATTTATTTCTAAATTATTTTCGAAATGAGATATGCGAATATCAACAATATTCAGACATTTATTTAAATAGGAATCAAGTGACTTTTTGTCAGATTTCTCCCGTTTACACCATTTTTTACAATAGGATGAAAGAGCATCTTTTATAACCTGACGACACTCTTCCCAATTTATTTTCGACGGTGGACGATATTTTGGTCCTTTTTTTCAGAAAACCTCTCGGTCTTGAACGATGTTGAGGTCACCTGTAATTGCATGGCCATAGGGATCATATTTAATTTCGATGTTTCACGGTCTCATGTTGAAGGAACATTATTTTCTGTACGGACGTCTGATGTAATCTAGCTGCAGAGGCATTGCCTCCTTTAAAACAATTGTGAAATGTGCTAAATTTTTAAGGTGAATTTCGATTAGCGGCAGTTGAATTTATATTAGGAACGCGGTTTTTTTAAGCACGTGGAACGTTTTTTTTTGTTATTTTATCCTTCTTAAAATCATGATATTATATTGTTTAATAGTATATAAGTGAAAGAGGCCGAAAGTCAAAGCTTTGAATTAGGATCATAATTACGGGATGAGTAGACCTATGTAGTGCAGTCGAAGAATTCTAATAAAAGCTGTAGTTAACAGGTCCGAGAACCCAGTTATTTCGTTGTGTATAATAATAAATTCAATAAAAAAATCGCTCCTGCTCTATCTCAAAAAGATTTTACTAGCTCTTACTAAAACTATGGACAATTCTATGTTAAGGAGATCTATAATTCAGTATAACAGGTTTAGACATATAAATTTTGACCTTATTAAACTAAACCAAATCATTACTTTACCTGAAAATACATCACCCAAAGTTATTTAAAAACATAAAATTTCATCCGCCTACTTTATATTTCCTGCATAAAATATAAAGAAATAATAATGAACAAAATTTAGCAAGTAATATACTGTCCACATTAGGGTCTATATTTACACAGCGAAAATCAAACGACGCCGGATAACTGTTTCCTCGGACCAACTGCCCGACGTTAAGACATGAGTAAAACATAACAAACATATAACAAACACAGGGCAAGAACAGAAAATATGTGAATCCACTTTGTAGATGTCAGTGTTGTTGGACATTTCAAGGGTATCACCAGACCAGTAGTCAATAACCTGTACTTTTAATATATTGTTTAAATCATTCGAAACACTATGGTTTTTCTATCCCAGACCTTTTTGAATTTTTAGTTTTCAATGGTCTTCCACTTTGTCTTTGATTTTGCCTCCAAACTGATGAGTCTTATAATAAGTAGATCAAACATGTGTCTGGCGTTTGAACTTATAAGCCTGCATGGTATCTTTGCTGAGATTTCTTTTATACAAATAAGAACCCTTAGAACTTTCCTGCTCTTGCCTTCAGTTCTAACTCGTCGAATTGTTCTTTTGGTTCATCTGGAGTTGCCAGTTTCTCACATTTTTCCAAATCTTCTTCACGCCTTTCATCACTACGGGTCTTTCTGAGATGCTATTCTACTTGTGTTTTCCAATTTACCAGAACATCTTACTCCAAATAATCTCTTCATATACTTTAAAGGGTTTGCTGTGAATTGTGCTCTTCCTTTTGTCCTTTTTCTATTTCAATTTCTCCGTGGCTTCTTTCCTTAACTGTTGCAGAGGTTACCTTCCCTCCTCATTAGCGACTCTTCTAACTCTTCTTGATAACCTTTTTATGTCTCCTCTCAATTCCTTAATATTCCTTTGTCTACGGTTACTCTGACCTTGTGTTCTCTCTCTCTCTTTTCCGGAAGCTATTAGTCCAATTCTGTCCTTTATTACACTGTAAATAATGGACGTCATTGCTCTCATCTTTCTATCTACATATCCTGCTAATGTTGCATCTAAGATGTTTTCGAGATCTTCATCGAAAGATTTCCAAATTATTCCCAATTTTTATAGTTTTCCCACAAAATACTGTTGTCGAGAAAGGCCGGGCAGATATACACATTAGTGTTTTGAATAAATCAATCTTTTATCTGTCTGTGGATTTTTTTGCAGGGGAATTTATGCTAACAAATATCTCTTAGTTCCATACTATAATTTGAATTTTAACAATTATGCAAGATGGACAAATCCTGAATAATGCACCTACATTATATCTTTAGAGGTATAAGAAACAGATATAAACAACCCAAATTTACCAACTTGGCCATTTCTTCCTTTCTAATTCTATTTCTTTTGTTTAATTTCAACTGGTTATTTCAACGTGGAAATCGATGAAGTATCACATGACATTTGGTTAACTGGTTAGTTCTTTTCGTAGAATATTCAGAACACCTTCGAAATATTCAAATGTTGATATTTTATGAAATAGTATTTTTCTTCGATAACTAGTTAGTGTGTGTGTTACGTTAAAATCAGGCAAGTAAACAACCAAAATAGTTTTTACAAGATAAAGTTAAAATACACAACATAAAGTTAAATATTTAATATTGATATTATACTATATAAGTTATTTTGTATACCCATTTTCAATACGTTATTGCTTTCAATTCAGGTGACTGATTATTTCAATATCAAGTTGGTTCAATTCCAGAAGAAGTCAATGTCGATAGGTTAAAAGACTGTAGTTGGCTGCCAGAATTGAGACATCGATAAAGTTGTCTAAAACTCTTTTTTTACTAGATCATATTTTCACATTTATATTTATATAGGCGACAAGCACGGAACGGATTGTTAGTTTTTTAAACTTCCGGAAACCATTACTTCTACTTTCGCTTTATATATAATGTCATAACAAGATAATGTAAACATGGCAAAACGGTCATCGAAGCAGGAGCAGGCAATTGGAATTACAATGGATAGTGATGAAACTCGGGTAATGTAGTACATAATGTTTGAAAATAACTCGAATAATATTTCTTAAACATAGCTTTATGTTATATTTTTTTATAAATTAGAAATGAAAAAAATTTAGATTTAGTCACACTTTTCAATCAATATGCCGTATCAATTTAAACATTGACATATCTTCTTACTTCAAGAAAAAATAAGCCAGAATTGAGACATCGATAAAGTTGTCTAAAACTCTTTTTTTACTAGATCATATTTTCACATTTATATTTATATAGGCGACAAGCACGGAACGGATTGTTAGTTTTTTTAACTTCCGGAAACCATTACTTCTACTTTCGCTTTATATATAATGTCATAACAAGATAATGTAAACATGGCAAAACGGTCATCGAAGCAGGAGCAGGCAATTGGAATTACAATGGATAGTGATGAAACTCGGGTAATGTAGTACATAATGTTTGAAAATAACTCGAATAATATTTCTTAAACATAGCTTTATGTTATATTTTTTTATAAATTAGAAATGAAAAAAATTTAGATTTAGTCACACTTTTCAATCAGTATGCCGTATCAATTTAAACATTGACATATCTTCTTACTTCAAGAAAAAATAAAAGTCAAACTTTTAATATACCTCTAAAGGTTTGGCAAACACAACCACGTTTTTACTACAAAGCTTATTTTCTGAGTCATGACATATTACATGTTATTCGCCGATTAGCCTACTTGGTTGAACATTGCATATTTGTGTTGCTTGATTGCTGTCTCAGTTAGGATTGAACATTTAACCGTCCTTAGGTGGCAGGGTTTCATCAATGACACATGATGTACAATGGATATACTTGTGGTCTAATTTTAACATTTCTTTTGTCTTTTCTTTTTCGGGTGGCATTTTTATTAATTTTTCATCCATCTCTCCATTCTCCAATTAGAAATCAAATATATCCAAAGTTTTATTTATTTTTGTTGTATGGCTTACAAATGCATATTTCTACTTTGGGAGTGTCACTACATTTGAGAAAAGAAAAGAAACGAGAGCCATCTATAGTTTTAATTTTCAATTTAATATGGACCGTATTTGATACAATTGATGGATTGTTGGTTTCGTTTAAAGTCGGACTATACGCCGTCATTTTCATACCTGTCAGAATTTTCTTCAAGTAAAAGTCTACCTAGTGTCAAAAAGTAGCATGTAAGAAAAAAAGAAATTTACAGCAAATGGCAAAGCAGAATACTAATGAACACGGGTCAATCATCATGTCTGAACAGGGTTTAAGCTAGGATTTTGAGGGCTTTAGTCACTTTTGCACGAGATGAAATTCAGAATGAATCCGGATTCATTTACGGATTGGTTCGTGTTTAAAAAAAAGGCAGGAAATTATAATTTTTTTATTTCAATTTGCTTAGTAAGAACTATATTTGTCTCTCTCATTTATTTTGGCACTAAATTTATTTCGTATTTTACGTTTTAATGTCTATAGGAATACTTTCACGCATGCGCAGTATATCGTAAAAGAAGCACGTACTGTTGACTCGTTGATGATGATGGAATTTTTTAACGTGAAAACATTTCTGAACGTTTTGAAACGTTTTTAATCGAAATTGAACGTTTTATATCAAAAATGACGAAAATACGATCATCTGACGAAACTACGACAAACGAACTGCAAATTATGAAGGTTTTAGATATATATTGAAATTAAAAAGCGAACTGTCCAGGGGAAAACAATTTTGTTCAAACGACGAAACTACGCCAAACCAACTGCAAATTGTGGTCGTTGGCCTTGAGAAATATTGAAATTAAAATGCAGACTGACTAACTTTACTGGGGAAAATAATTAACCGGATTAGTGACCCATCCGATGGCGATAAGCGGATTAGCTGTAATCACAACTTTATAACACCTGTTGTGAATGCTAATTAGCTGAGGGTTATAAACTTGTCAGAAACATGTAGACAGGTAAAATTATGTCTAGGTTAGTCTATAAAAAGGTATATACTATGAAATTTAGAGCGAGGGGCTTGCCCCGAGCTCTTAATTTCATAGTATATACCTTTTCATAGACTATCCAATTTAGCACATATTTACAACTCGAGTAATCTTTTAATTGGTCTATTGATAGTTTATTTTGGCTGACTACTTGTATCACAGGTGTTTGTAAAACGGAGCTCATTAACGAAGTTTTGTAAATCTACTCACTAGTATCATTGTAAAATATGTTATTCCAAAAGGCCCTTGACTCCAGAATGAAAAGATGGTAGCTGCTGGTGTAAGTATGTATATTGATATAAAGCGGTGTTTTACTATACATGTTCTTCTTACATGGTAAGATGACCAAATAAATTGACCAAAAGCAGGCAATAATTAAATTGCAGTGGAAGCTTTACATGTTTTGAAAACATTTTTTTAATTTCACAGTAAAACTAAAGCTATAATAAATTTGAAACATATAGATAGTTTGTCCCCATAGATATAGTCTAGCAGATAGGCATTAAAAAGCAACTACCAATAGATCACAGATTATAGGTTTTGTGTTTTTTTGTTTCTTTGTTTTATTATTTCAAAGTAAAAACTAAAAGATTTATCAGAATATGTTTATATATATATATATATAATTGGCACATTATCTTCAGACATAATCACAGTTTTTCAATTCATGACATCGTCCTGAACATGCATGAAATATTTGCCACTGGAAATTAAGCAACCGATAATCAATAAATCAATCAATTCATGACGAAATAGATCACCTTCCTTAAGAAAGTTTAAAAAATTATCACCAAGTTGCTTTAATTTCCCCTTCACAAGGTTTCATAGTACACACTTTTTGTGTACAAAGTAATTGCATGGATGATACATTATCATAATTTTAAGATATCGTTGTACTCTAATCAAGGTATAAATAACCATATGTATAACCCTTTATTTAAATGAAAGAAATTTGCAACTGTCAAAAACATTTTTTAGATCCAAAGATTTTAATAGGAGGATATTTAAAAATCAACGTGAAAACTAATTACAAACTATTTAATTTAATTTGGAACACAGCATTTTATTTCAAAATAGCCAGTGGCAATTTTTGTTTTAAATATCTTGATTACGATACAATGAAATCTTACCCTTGTGGTCATTCATGCTTAGTTACTTAGTACACGGGAAAAGTATGTACTATGAAAATTAGAAGGCAAATATAAGCAATTTGATTGGACGAGAAGTTGTAAGTATGTGCTAAAGCATTTTCATGCGAAAATATTTTTACACTTTCCAAATTTAAGTGACGAAACTGATTTGAAATACTTCCGTCATTTTGAAAACAGTTTCGTAAATAACGAAAGTGACGAGCGCTAGCAAAATCAACGACTCAATGAAAATTAAAATAAATCCGCTATAACCATCACGTCTAATATTGCTTACATAATCTTTGATGGATGAAACGATTGGTGTTTAGTGGCCAGTGGCAAATATTTTAGGTATTCAAGGACGTTAACATGAATTTGACGTGAATATGAACTTTGCTTTTTACCTTTCCGGGCACGCTGATTTTTAACGTGCTAGTTCAAGATAAAGTCCACAAGAAGACATGTTAATCTACCGTACAGATCAACCAGTAATTTTGAGCCGATTAGCATTTGCCCTTACTCCTAAATGTAGCGGAGAAGCAGCAAATATCAATGTTCAAGTCTTTGCTTTTAACCGGCCTGGGACCGAAACCTTCGATCTCCTGCGTTCTGGAAGTGAGTAATGAAACTCAATTGCGATATGTTTAAATGGCTTTTCAAGATCTCTATACAAATGAAAAGTTTGACTTAGTTTATAATCTAGACCTTCGAGAAAGTCAATTGTCTTTTTTTGATAAATCCTCTAAAGAAAGGCAAGTATACAACAGTTCAACAAGAGTGCACACACTGAAATGTCTCGCCTTCTTTACTAACCATTGATTTTATGTTGATAGTCCTAAATATAAAGCTTTACTACAAGTAACACATAAACTTAACATGATCCAAGAAAATGAGGTCAAGGTCAGATAAACCAAACGAGAAATACATGTACACCTTACAATCATTCAATAAACCAAACATAGTTGACCTATTGCTTATAGTTTCTAAGAAACAGTCTTAACCAAGAAACCTAAATATTGACCAATGAACCATGAAAATGAGGTCAAGGTCAGATGATACCTGCCAGACAGACATATACACCTTACAATCCTTCCATACAACAAATATAGTTGATCTATTGCTTATAGTTGAAGAAAAACAGACCAAAACACAAAAACTAAACACTGAGAAATGAACCGTGGAAATGAGGTCAAGGTCAAATAAAACCTGCGAGACTGACATGTACATCATAAAATATTTCCATACACCAAATATAGTTGACCTATTGCATATAGTATTAGAAAAAAAGACCAAAACTCAAAAACTTACTTTGACCACTGAACCATGAAAATGAGGTCAAGGTCAGATGACACCTACCAGTTGGACATGTACACCTTACAATCATTCCATATACCAAATATAGTAGCCCTACTGCTTATAGTATCTGATATATGGACTTGACCACGAAAACTTAACCTTGTTCACTGATCCATGAAATGAGGTCGAGGACAAATGAAAATTGTCTGACGGGCATGAGGACCTTGCAAGGTACGCACATACTAAATATAGTTGACCTATTGCATATATAGTATTAGAAAAAAAGACCAAAACTCAAAAACTTAACTTTGACCACTGAACCATGAAAATGAGGTCAAGGTCAGATGACACCTACCAGTTGGACATGTACACCTTTCAATCATTCCATATACCAAATATAGTAGACCTACTGCTTATAGTATCTGATATATGGACTTGACCACGAAAACTTAACCTTGTTCACTGATCCATGAAATGAGGTCGAGGTCAAATGAAAATTGTCTGACGGGCATGAGGACCTTGCAAGGTACGCACATACTAAATATAGTTATCCTATTACTCATAATAAGAAAGAAATTAACATTACAAAAAATGTTGACTTTTTTTTCAAGTAGTCACTGAACCATGAAAATGAGGTCAAGGACAATGGACATATGACAGACGGAAACTTCGTAACATAAGGCATCTTTATACAAAGTATGAAGCATCCAGGTCTTCTAGCTTCTAAAATATAAAGCTTTTAAGAAGTTAGCTAACGCCGCCGCCGCCGCCGTAGCCGCCGCCGCCGTAGCCGCCGCCGCCGCCGCCGCCGGATCACTATCCCTATGTCGAGCTTTCTGCGACAAAAGTCGCAGGCTCGACAAAAAACAACATGTGTGCAAGTCAGCAATAAAATTGTCATCTAAGGTGGTATGGATCATAGACAAAACTTGCATTTTACCCTTTGTTCTTTTATTTTATCAACGGATCGTCGGACATGTTTTAAACTACATACCCCAATGATGATTGTGGCCAGGTTGGGTTTCAATTAGCCGCTGGCAAGAACATCCAGGGAAGGAGATTTTTCTAAAACTTAACGGACGATGTATGACGAACGCCAATTGATGAGACTAGATCACTTGACCGTTCTAGTCATGTGAGCATAAAATACCTATTGCGAAGAAATCTTTATATTTCCCCTTCCCTGTGGAGACCATCACTACGAAGTCATAAAGGAAAATGATTGTGTATGTTATTTGCTTGTAGAGTTCTATTCCTCGGGTTTTGCGATATGCTTTGATAAACAAAGACTTGTACTCAAAGAAAGGAAAAGATTTACCAGATGATTTTGTAAAATACTTTATTCCAGGTAAGTTGAGACAATTTATTCGTATTTTATTATTTCAAAGTCAATAGTAGTTTGCTATGAACAATACGATGTGTGTCAGTAATGGACCAGGAATTGCTTAACCTTACAGAGCACCAGAGTTCAAAGGATTTTTATACGACCGCAAAAAATTTTTGCGGTCGTATATTGGTATGACGTTGGCGTCGTCGTCGTCGTTGTCGTCGTCTCGTCCGGCGTCGTCCGAAGACACATTGGTTTTCGCACTCTAACTTTAGTTTAAGTGAATGGATCTCTTTGAAATTTTACCATAAGGTTAAATACCACAAAAGGAAGGTTGGGATTGATTTTGGGGGTTATGGTACCAACAGTTAAGGAATTAGGGGCCAAAAGGGGCCAAAAATAAGCATTTTCTAGTTTCCAGACAATAACTGTGGAACGGTGTATGGATCTCTCTGAAATTGTACTACAAGTTTCCATAGCACAAAGGGATGGTTAGGATTTGCTTTGGGGGGTTATGGCTCAAACCGTTTAGGAATTAGGGAAAAAAAGGGGGAAAACAAGGTTGTCCTGGTTAATGGACAAATACTTTAGTACAAAACATAATTTAAAGCAGTATAAGGGAGATAAATCAAATACATCATTGAAATTACCTCCTTTACACTGCTTTTAAATTATGTATAAAGTAATGGTTAATGAACAATTAAGATAATTTAAAACAGTGTAAGGGAGGTAATCCAAATACAACGTTTTGGTTACTTCCCTTACACTGCTTTTAAATTATGTTTAAAGAAATGCATACTTATAAAGGAAGACCAATTGGTTCATATTGAGGTCAAAAGGGTCCAAAATTAAACTTCGTTTGATTTCATCAAAAATTGAATTATTGGGGTTCTTTGATATGCCAAATCTAACCGTGTATTTAGATTTTTAATTTTGGGTCCTGTTTTTTAAATTGGTGTACATTAAGGTCCAAAGGGTCCAAAATTAAACTTTGTTTGATTTTAACAAAAATTGAATTCTTGGGGTTCTTTGATATGCTGAATCTAAACATGTGTTTTGTTTTTTGATTATGGGCCCAGTTTTCAAGTTGGTCCAAGTTGGGGTCCAAAATTAAACTTTGTTCGATTTCAACAAAAATTGAATATATAGGGTTCTTTGATATGCTGAATCTAAACATGTATTAGATTTTAGATTTTTGGCCCAGTTTTCAAGTTGGTCCAAATTGGGGTCCAAAATTAAAATTTGTTTGATTTCAACAAAAATTGAATATATGGGGTTCTTTGATATGCTGAATCTAACTATGTATTTAGATTTTTTATTTGTGGGCCCCGCTATCAAATTGGTTCATATTGAGGTCAAAAGGGTCCAAAATTAAACTTTGTTTGATTTCATCAAAAATTTAATTTTTGGGGTTCTTTGATATGTCAAATCTAACCGTGTTTTTAAATTCTTAATTTTGGGTCCCGTTTTTTAAATTGGTCTACATTAAGGTCCAAAGGGTCCAAAATTAAACTATAGTTTGATTTTAACAAAAATTGAATTCTTGGGGTTCTTTGATATACTGAATCTAAACATGTGTTTAGATTTTTGATTATGGGCCCAGTTTTCAAGTTGGTCCAAGTTGGGGTCCAAAATTAAACTTTTTTTGATTTCAACAAAAATTGAATATATGGGGTTCTTTGATATGCTGAATCTAACCATGTATTTTGATTTTGGACATTAAACCATAATAGGTAAGTTAAAAAAATTCAAGATCTTAGACCACATTTTTTCTGTGTCAGAAACCTATGCTGTGTCAAATATTTAATCACAATCCAAATTCAGAGCTGTATCAAGCTTGAATGTTGTGTCCATACTTGCCCCAACTGTTCAGGGTTCGACCTCTGCGGTCGTATCAAGCTGCGCCCAGCGAAGCATTTTATTTATATTGTCGTTCTTTGACTATGGTTTTTGTTTGCCCTGTCAATTTCTTATCATTTTTCAAAATCGTCAATCTTTCAGTTTTGAGTTTTCGAGAGTACGTATTTTTTTTTTATTTAATTGCATGTAATATATTGCAGTTGATTCTACTATAGATTTCTCATTTCATCATTTTCAGAATCTGAATGGTTTCAAAAGAAGAAACGAGATAAAGCGAATGACTGGATGCAATGTCAAAAAGAATCCGGACAAACGTTTATACAGTGGCAACGTTCTGGTTGCTCTTTACCATTCGGTAGACGTACATCAATATACCTCCTTCCGTTAGCATTCATTGAAGATCCAATACCCAAAGAAATTCTTGATCCTCTCAGAGCATTTGCAGAAGTTTTCTTTCAAATCCCAGTGAAAATAATGGGCTCAAAAAAGCTAAATAAAGAAGTTCCGAACAGGATAAATGAATATTCAAATACATACCAAGTGGATGCTGGGAAAGTTTTAGAGATAATGAAACCATTGGTGCCCGGTGATGCATTCTGCGTTGCTGGCATTACAATGTGTGATTTATATCCGAGAGAATCATGGAATTTTGTCTTCGGACTAGCCAACTTGGCTGGAAACTGCGGAGTATATTCTTTGGCTCGTTATCTAAGTAACTTTGGTAAGACACAGACGACAGTTTATGAGCCAGCAAGGTAGGCATTTCATATATATCATTATATTGGTTATGCGAGAAAAGTTTTCCTCGGAAGAAACTTTTTAGTTTTCAAAAAAAATCTATTTTTGACACTGGGAATCGATTTAAGATTATTCTAACAATACATGTACATGTATATAATTTTTTTCGTTGAAATCCTAACACAAAAAATACGTTCACCAAAATTTGTGATTTTTTTAAACCACAATTTCCTCAAAATGTTCATAATAATATAAAGTGGCCTTCCTGTCATAGGTATAAACACATGAAAATCGGATGTGACAATCTTGACTTATGGTACGCTATAGTCTAAGTGACAGACCTTTGCTATAGGGGTTTATTATGGCGGAATTATACCATCAATGTGTAAATTTCAATATTTTTGTAAAAGATGTGGAATTTGTAAATCTTAAAATATGAAAACCGAAAATTTCTGAAATTTGCTGTAAATGCGTGTTATATATATCATAAGAAGTAGTCAAAACCTTAGAACGATTGGTAGACTTTCAAAGAAGATATATACCGGTTTGAACCTTTATCAAATGGAAAATACATGTAGGGGTTGAGTTTCTATTGGTATGCACTCATTATATCATTACTATATTTTGGTATTCTGTTTCAGTGAAGAAGGTGGAAAATCAACAATTTTTAAGAGAGCATGTAAAACAATGTGTCATGAGATTGGTCACATGTTTGGAATAAAACATTGTATATACTATGAGTGTTTGATGAATGGATCAAACAATTTAGAAGAATCTGATGGACGACCTCTATTCCTCTGTCCTGTTTGTTTAAGGAAGCTCCAATTTTCGTGCAAGTTTGATATTGAGGAAAGATATAGACAGATGATTCCAGTTTTGGAGTGTTTCGGTCTTACAGATGATGCAAATTGGCTGAAGACAAGACTCACAAGACTAGAATCACTGAAGAAAGACTAATTTGTATAATCATAGATGTATAAACCCATAGCTATGGACATCTATAGTGTACTATTTGATGATGAGCTTTATTGTGATCCTGATATAATTTATGAAATGTAAATATGTATACTTCGGTTTTTCTTGGACGGTAATTTCTCATATTTGATTAATAACAAATTAAAACGTATATCCAAATTAAAAAAAGTTAAAAATACACAATTAAGAATGCATGGACTCGATAATATGTATCAGCATTTCGTGTATATTTTTGTCTAGACGTCATCTTATTAACCATCGAGATGACTTCCGAAGACTGCCGACGGTCATATAACCCGACGTAACTATAAATACAAATATAAATACATAGCGACCACGTGCAATTGAATTTTTCTAGGTTTGTTTGATTTCATATTGTAGGTTAAACAGTGTGTTAATCATTGTTTTTACCTGTACAAGAACGATTTTTTGTGGATCAAATCAGTCAACCAAATGGTTCATCCTTGTTTGACTTTCAATGTTGACTATCTTTTCCGTTTAATAGATTAATACATGCGTAACCCATCTCCAGCTAAGGGGTTTAATTGAAGGTCACATGCAAATGAATAATGCATCAACGATGTTTCTTAGCTTATTTTGACAAAATGAATTATTATTTCACTATTCCACTTTCATTTTCTATATCTCGTAGCTAATGACCCTTTAAGGTGTGATTAATCAAAATCAAATGTTTATATGGTATGGAACTACTAGTCTTCTAATTATGTTTATAAAATGACACACTCACATCTATAATTACCTTCCGACACTTTCCCCAATTTATTTTCGACACTTTTTCAAAAAGTGTATAACCTTGTTACAACATGGTCATTGATATCATTTTTGAATTTTAAATGAAATAAGGATACAAGTCGAAAATGATGGAAAAATTTAATTAAAAAATTCTTAAAAGACAAAAAAACAAGAGTGCACACGCTGCAATGTCTTCCTACTATACTGGCCATTGATTTTATGTTGATAGTCCTACATATAAAGTTTTACATATTAACATTTATGATCCCAGAAAATGAGGTCAAGGCCAGATAAACCAAGCCAGAAATACATGTACACCTAAATACAATCATTCCATACACAGAATATAGATGACCTATTACTTATAGTATAAAAGAAACAGACCAAACCATGGAAATTCTATATTGACCAATGAACCATGAAAATGAAGTCAGGTCAGACGAACCCTGCCAGACAGACATGTACACCTTAAAATCATTCCATGCATCAAAAGTAGTTGACCTATTGCTTATAGTATCTAACAATAAATTGCTTCGCCGAGCGCAGCTGGATACGACAGCAGAGGTCCAACCCTGAACAGTTGGGGCAAAAATGGACACAATATTCGCGCTTGATACAGGTCTGAATTTGGATTGTAATTAAATATTTGACACATAATAGTTTACTGACACAGAATAACTGAAGTCAAAGAACTTAGAATTGGTTATATGATTTGAATTTATATTCAATTTTTTGCTTTTGTGCAATACACTATGCTGTTGCGAATTGACCCCCACCCCCTTTAAAAAAAAAAAAAATATTTGAAGAAATTTTCTTTTCAATTTTTGAAATCTGAAATGAGAAAAAATTGTCCCCCCCCTCACAATTTCTTTTTTACCCCCCCCCCCCCCAATTTTTTTTTACCCCACCCCCCTTTTCCAAAAAAAAAAATTCTTTCCCTCAAGATATGGTCATAATCTCAATTCAAATTTCCAATGGAGTTTGCAACCATAATTACCTATTGAAATACATCATAAAAATCTTAAAATAGAAAATGACATACTTATTCATGGCTAAAATTAATATATTAAATATTCCTTAATCAGCATTTTTAAATAGTAACTTCTAAAAATAAATTGACAGCTAATCACCTCAAGACAATACAACATTTCTTTATACATAATTCAAAAGCAGTGTAAGGAAGGTAATCCAAACTTAACATAGTACTTTTTTTAATTGTCCATTAACCACGAAACCCCTGTTTTTCCCCTTTTTGCCCCCAATTCCTAAACGGTTTGAGCCATAACCCTCCAAAGCCAATCCTTACCATCCCTTTGTGGTATGGAAACTTGTGGTATAATTTCAGAGAGATCCATATACCGTTCCATAAGTTATTGTCTGGAAACTAGAAAAATGCTTAATTGGGCCCCTTTTTGGCCCCTCATTCCTAAACTGTTAGGACTATAACCCCCAAAATCAATCCCAACCTTCCATTGTGGTTATAAACCTTGTACTTAAATTTCATAGATTTCTATTTACATTTACTATAGTTATTGTCCGGAAACCAAATGATTTCGGACGACGCTGACGACGACGACGCCGACGACGACGACGCCGACGACGACGATGTGACACCAATATACGACCGCAAAAGTTAACCAGGAAAACTGAACATTGACCAATGAACCATGAAAATGAGGTGAAGGTCAGATAATACCTGCCAGACAGACATAAACACCTTACAATCATTCCATACACCAAATATAGTTGACCTATTGCTTAAAGTTTAAGAAAAACAGAACAAAACACAAAAACTAAATATATAAGCAACGGACCATGAAAATGAGGTCAAGGTCAAATAAAACCTGCCAGACTGACATCTACATCGTAAAATATTTCCATACACCTAATATAGTTGACCTTTTGCATACAGTATTAGAAAAACAGACCAAAACACAAAAACTTAACATTGAGCAATGAACTGTAAAAATGAGGTCAAGGTCAAATAAAACCTGCCAGACTGACATGTACATCGTAAAATATTATCATACACCAAATATAGTTGACCTACTGCATACAGTATAAGAAAAACAGACCAAAAACACAAAAACTTAACATTGAGCAATGAACTGTGAAAATGAGGTCAAGGTCAAATAAAACCTGCCAGACTGACATGTACATCGTAAAATATTTCCGTACACCAAATATAGTAAACCTACTGCACACAGTAATAGAAAAACAGACAAAAACACAAAAACTAAACTATAACCACTGAACCATGAAAATGAGGTCAAGGTCAGATGACACCTGCCATTTGGACATGTACACCTTACAATCATTACATACACCAAATATAGTAGACCTATTGCGTATAGTATCTGAGATATCGACTTGACCACGAAAACTTAACCTTGTTCACTGATCCATGAAATGAGGTCGAGGTCAAGTGAAAACTGTCCATCAGGCATGAGGACCTTGCAAGGTACGCACGTACCAAATATAATTATCATATTAATATTAATAAGAGAGACATTAACATTTCAAAAATTCTTAACTTTTTTTTCAAGTAGTCACTGAAACAATAAAAATGAGGTCAAGGACAATGGACATATGACAGACGGAAATTTCATATCATAAGGCATCTATATACAAAGTATGAAGCATCCAGGTCTTCTACCTTCTAAAATATTAAGCTTTTAAGAATTTAGTTAACGCCGCCACCGCCGCCGCTGGATCACTATCCCTAAGTCGAGCTTTCTGCGACAAAAGTCGCAGGCTCGACAAAAAATGAATAGAAAAAGGGGGTTCATGCCCCAGGCACCTGTGAATGCAGCAGTCAAAAATTTCCACTGACTCGTAAAAGTATTTCTTTACAACTGCATGGGACCAATAGATGTTTTAATACCAATTAACTAACACAGCAAATCAGAAAACTGAAATTCCAACATTGTATCGCTGAAGCAAGAAATAGTCGGACCTGACAGATGCTAGTGCAACAGTTTATCATACATAATTGGACAATCGTAATTATACACAGAAAATCAGAATAGTATATCATTTACAACCTAATCAGAAGAACATAGCATTTAAACATTATAAAAATCCAGTCACTGAATCATGACTGAAAAGACAGAACCTCAAGTACATGGATATGTTTACACATGCATACCATACGTCAATGGTATATCAGAAACATTTCATAAACACTCCAAACCAGAAAACTTATTAAGACTTTAAATTCACTGCAGCATGACATCTGACCAGGTTCTCATATGTATACCGCAAGCAGTTTGGGTGATGTTGCAAATGTGATGACGCATGTATATGGGTCTTATCAAAATCTAAGCATTATGTGTTCATGAATACGACGCCAGGATATTAATAATAGTGTACCCAATGTTTCGCCTTTGCCATATTAGGCGCAGCCGAGACAAAATAATTGCTGAAGTCTGGACTACCAAATTATTAATTTGTTTAATCTACATGTATCACTATCTCACATATTTTTAAATCTCGATTATTATTTGCACTCAAAGGGAAATCTACTTCACAAATAAGGAGGAGGAAGATTTTTTTTCCCGGATTGATCATTTATTTTCATCTGTTGCTACGCATGCTTATTTTTTTTCGCGGTAGTTTATTTCAACTTTTGAACATATTTGATTCCGGCATTTTGTCATTGTTCGTGTTGCAGAATATTCATTTTCATCCTGTCTGGTGGAAAGTTTTTTAATTTTCATTTCTTACCAGGCCAACTTATTTATTTTCAAAATCCTCCTCTCCACCCCAACCCCGAATTACAAATGGTCGTCCCCTAACTGAAAATGTTCATTAAGATTCGAATGATCTCCCTTGAAACTTTTTCTCTTTATATTTCTTTGGTTACAAAATATAAGGCAAATGGATATACATACTTTGTCTAAAAGCAAGTTAGCCCAACAATGTTAACCTGTAAATTTGGCAATTGCGTTCTCCCCTCAGACGTATTTAAATCCCTGTGACTGTGATATCGTGGCAACATCGCATACACTGTCCAGCGTCCAAGACCACTTCTATCCCCTGCGCTGGAGACCGTGCAGGCGATGTTATCACGATGTCATAGGAGTAGGGGTTCGAATCCCGCTGAGGGAAAAACGAAAACATCTGAAACATATTTAGATGTGTATATATATAAACAATGACATACAATCTGGATTAGTTAACTGATTTTTGGTGATTAACGAAACTTTCACCACTCTTGTCTATATTGTGGCGGCCAGTTTTTTATTGGTTGAGGAAGCCGGAGTGACCGGAGATAATATAATCGGGAGTTTTCCGGCCCTATAGTAATTCAAAGATGAAATACCAATAATTTAAACTTTATTAGCAAGGTGACTGGTCCGAACAGTACCAGACCTAAGACCTAAACTCACTTCAAAATAACATAAAAAAAAACATATATAACAAGAGGCTCTCAAGAGCCTGAATCGCTCACCTGCAATTTTTTGCTTAAATCTTTCATCAACGATTATTTCTGCTTTTTAGTATAATTATTAATGAGTGGCTTAAAAATTCCATTGAGATGTTCTTTGTATCTGTCATATTTTCCCCAAAAGCAAAGAAATACATTTTACCCATAGTGGCTATGTTTCTTGACGTACAAGAAAATAAAATACAAAATTTATACTAGATACTCTAAAACTCATTCAGCCCAAGTTTGGCTGAAATTGATTCAAGTTTCAAAGGAGAAGATTTTTTAAAGTTAGAAAACATGATAAACAAATTGTGTAAAATTGTCCTCAAAGGGCAATAGTCCTTAAGGGGTCAATTGACAATTTTGGTCATATAAACTTATTTGTAGATCTTACTTTGCTGAACATATTTGCTGGTTACAATTTATCTTTATCATTAATACTATTCAAGATAATAACCAAAAACTGCAAAATTTCCTTACAATTACCAATTTAGTGGCAGCAACCCAACAATGGGTTATTAGATTCATCTGAAAATTTCAGGGCTGATAGAACTTCACCTAATAAACACTTTTACCCCTGTCAGATTTGTTCTAGCTCCTTTAGTTTTTTAGATATAAGCCAAAAAATGCATTTTATCCCTATGTTCTAATTTTATCCATGGCGGCCATGTTTTTTGACGAAACAGAAAATAAAACACAAACTTTATTCTAGATACCCTAAGGATCATTCAGCTTAAGTTTGGTTGGAATTGATTCAGTGGTTTCAGAGGAGAAGATTTTTTAAAGTTTGAAAACATGATAAACAAATTGTGTAAAATTGTCCTTAAGGGCAATAACTCTTTAAGGGGTCAATTGACAATTTTGGTCATATAAAACTTATTTGTAGATTTTACTTTGCTGAACCTTATTGCTGTTTACAGTTTATCTTTATCATTAATACTTTCCAAGATAATAACCAAAAACTGCAAAATTTCCTTAAAATTACCAATTTAGTGGCAGCAACCCAACAATGAGTTATTAGATTTATCTGAAAATTTCAGGGCTGATAGAACTTTACCTTATGAACACTTTTACCCCATGTCAGATTTGTTGGTTTTTGAGATATAAGCCAAAATCTGCATTTTACCCCATGTTCTATTTTTAGCCATGGCTGCCATGTTTTTTGACGAAACAGAAAATAAAACACAAACTTTATTCTAGATACCCTAAGGACCATTCAGCTTAAGTTTGGTTGGAATTGGTTCAGTGGTTTCAGAGAAGATGTTTGAAATAGTTTACACCAGACGGACGACGGACGACGACGACGACGACAGACGACGACGGACGCAAAGTGATGGCTAAAGCTCACCGTTCCTTTGGAACGGTGAGCTAAAAATCAGTATCTTTATATAGAAAAGAATTAAGTGTCCAACGGATCAACTTGTCATCGTCAATGTGATTTCCATTACGACAAACATATATTTAACAATAGAATTAATTAAACACATAGAAAGGTAAAAGGTGATATAAACGGATTAACAAATTGTCACTATAGCACTTAAATATATTGTCTGAATTTGCTTTATTTCTAATTCACATTTGTCAAAATCTTCCGGGTTATAATAACTTCCTTCCGCAGGAAAACTGGCACACCTAGTACATGAAGTACTTTGATTGAATTGTGGGAAGGAAAAGTGGCCAAATGCCAGACTTGTCATGTAATTTATAAGGCCTACGAGAGAAGCGCGTTTTGTCAGCATAGGTCTCATCGTGTCCACTCTGATCAAAATAGTTGAAAGTCAAATCAACATTTCAAACCAAAATTCCGACAAGTTTTACCAAAATTGACAAAAACAGTCTATGTCTGTGTAAAAAACACATTACTTTATTACTTAAATTTACGTCCTTGTCCAAATAATCCAAACAAGCGTATGAAAAGTCTACTTTATTCATGCTAGGCTCAGTACACACATGTCATACTGATTATTTCCTCTATCATAAAGACAAGCACGGTGTGTAAATACTAGTTTTGTTATAAGCGGATATCGCTTCTTTCATTTTCGTTTAGTTGTCATAACAAAAATGTAAACGATCGAACGTATTTTTAGACTTTAAAATGGCAAAGGCAAAAGTTTGTTCAGAACATAACCACTTTGAGGCAATTGGACTCACTTTACATAAGGGAATGGCAAGGGTAAACTTGTAAAAACGTAAAATGTTTACTGCTAACAATTGTTATTTCTGAATCGTGAAACAATGCCGTGTTTTTTAGCAAATAAAAATAATTTGGCATTGTTTTGTTTTGACTGAAAAACAGATATGAGTGGTCTATACTTGGTCTTCATTTGGCCTTCGATGACAGTATTTCTTTTGCCATAATAAAGAAGAATGCACGTGTTGTCGTGCAGTGCTAGCATAAATTTTGTTTACATACGCAATCATTTGGATAACTGTTTCAAATACCTTTCCACTGTGTAGCATTAGATGGACATTGATGGTGAGTTTATCTTATCACAGTCTGAGAACAGAAATACCAGTATATGCACATTGAAATTGCTATAATTTTGATCACAGTCGTCATCGAAAAGTGGGTACACCTAGATTCAGTACTCAACCATGAAGGAAAAAACCTCACAAGCACAGAGAGGTCAGTATACGCCACAATACAACAGACACCATGGTATGTTTACTTTAACATATGTCTTGCACACCATGGCATAAAAAGGAGATGGAACCTACTAGTGCAACAAATACCCTACAATATAAAAAAGGAGATGTGGTAAGACTGCTATAATTCATGCCCTTTTAATATTATCCGGAGACATCGAATTAAACCCCGGTCCTACAAAAAAAACAACTGTGCGATCTGTAGGAAACTAGTGAGAAGAGGAAATACAGATATCATGTGCGATGAGTGCGACTTGGATTCATGCTAGATATGCATCTATAGACAACAAAAAATATAGCGAACTGCAAAATAGCAAAGACAAATGGTTCTGTACAAAGTGGGCAGCTCCATGTGGTATGCACATTAAGCATCCTGAACTCAGAGCCGCCAGCCACTGAATGCGACGAATGTAAGCTATGAATACACAACACCTGCGCCATAGTGAGTGAGATGAAAACAGTTATCCAGACTACGAATTGCACCTGAATATGGCCATCTTGTAATGACACCAACTTTTTCAGGCAACTTCATTCACAAGTGTAGCTTCAAGTATAGAAACAAGAAGCCAATACGAGGTACTATTCCACAATTATGGTCCATCAAACAAAGGAGCGTGCATGTACCGCTAAATTATATAGTCAGGAAGATGAACGGAATAGGAGGTAAAACACGGGAACTACAAGGGTACTTGTCGATAGAAAATCCAGAAAAAGTACCGATACAAGAAACAAAAACTGATAGCAGTATAAATCCAAAGAACTCATTCCAGACTTATTAGGATGTGACATATACCGCAACGACAGAACAGCAAAAGTTGGAGGCACTATGCTGCTTGTAAAAATCAAACATTGACTCAGCATAAATGAATAAGCTTCAAAATGGATCAGAATCAACCTGAAGCAAAATCACAATTAATGGAAAACCTCATTTCATAGGTAGCTGGTACAGGCCACCAGATGCACCAGCGCTAGCTGCTGATCACATAAATTTACTGAAAGAACAATTCAACCAGATAAAAGCACAGGGCATACGTAATTGTAATCCTCAAATACATCGTCTTGGGGATTTCAACTACCGTCAAATCAACTGGGAGACCAAAATGAACATAGATATCAACTCCGATCTTGCTGGTAGCTAGGGTCAGACATTGATAGATATATTGAACGAAGCAAGTGCTAATCAACTAGTACACTTCCCGACAAGAGATGAAAACACTCTAGACCTGCTCATAAAAACTTTGCTAGGCCAATCAACGTACACGCACCAGATAAATTCAGCGACCATGATATAGTATAGGGTACTCGGGTGAAGTTCCGATAAAACTAGTTCAAAGAGAACTTTTTCCAGTACTCAAAGGGAGATTACAACCAGATGAGAGAAGATGCAAAAATTTTCTGCAGATTGTTACTTCAACGGCCACCCAAACAATCGGATCAGTGGAGGCCAATTGGGAATTGATTTTAAAAAATCATTTCAAAAAAAACTAAGAATAGTGTATCAACTAAACTTGCGGGGAAAGAAATCATTACCCTGGAATAACACCAGCAAAAAAAAAACAATCAATAAAACGAAAGAACAGAGCCCATGCTAATTACAAGAGTCCAAGGCTAAATGAAAAAAGGAAAACCATCAGGAACACCATAAATGAAGAGGTCAAATCAGCCCATGACAACTATGTTAACAACATGATAGGAGATATCAGACAAGCTACTAAACCATTTTGGAAATGCATCAATAGCAGAAAGCAGAAAAATAAGGGATTTCACCACTACAAACCAAAAATAGAAAAATCGCCGAAACCAACAGCGAGAAAGCTGAAGCTTTAAATCAACAATTTACAAGCCTTTTTACAGAAAAAAAGTTTGTCTCTAAACCTTATACTAGATCATCATCTAGCAAAATGAGGAACATCAATGTAACCAACAAAGGAGTAAAAAAGATGCTAAAAATATAATGCCACCAAAGCAATTGGACCTGACGGCATCCATCCCCGTGTATTGAAGGAAATGTCAACAGAGATATCATATATCCTAACTGACTTCTTTTCAACAATCCCTCAGTTGTGGTACCATCTCTCATGAATGGCGAAAATCTACCCCCTCTTTAAAAAGAACGATACCCAAGTACTTATCGACCAGTATCACTAACCTGTATACTAGTAACATGTAAACTACTAGAACACATCATATGCTCAAACTTGATGCAACACTTTAAAGACCAAAATATACTCAACAATAGACAGCATGCTGCCAGAAAACATCATAGTTGTGAGACACAACTAGTGAGTGTAATACACGACTGGGCAACTTCCATAGACAACAGGAAACAGACTGACATCTATATACTTGAATTTCAAAAGGCATTTCAATTGATATTTTATAGTGTGTCTTGTTATGTTGTAATGTTGAACTACAGGGCATTTGTATGCACCTGTCCTAAGTCAGGAGCCTGTTGTTCAATGGTTTTTTATATAGATTAGACCGTTGGTTTTCCTGTTTGAATTGTCTTACACTAGTCATTTTCAAAAGAGCAAGATTATAAACCTGGATCAATGACAGCGATTCTGAAACAGCTCAATTCACCATCAAAGATACAAGAGAACACAGAGTAGGCTAATACTTCTGCACAAAGGACTAAACAATAAAGCCTGTATGTCTACAGAGCGAATACTATTAAGGACTGGAACTCAATGCCACTGGATATGTTTGACATGATAGAATCTTCAACAGACCGAGTCAGATCATTTGCAGATATTGTTAGGGAGGGGTGGGTATTTGGACCAATGGATATGGACGGATGCTCGGTGTAATAATGTCCATCGGGCGTGTCACCGTACCATATCAAGATCAAGATACCCCATTCGTAACTTAAGGGATCAGAAAACATGAAGTAGGTGTCTGAAAGATCTGAAAAGAACAAGACGATTCAACTCATCACTGTTTAGTTGGTGACCAAATATGAAGTCATTGTGTTCAATAGTATTGGAGAAATAATTGATGACAAATTTGTAAGTTCATTCAACATACTGAAAAAATCAAAGTATCATCAAACAGGAATACGGTATCTTACAGATCTGAAAAGTGCTCACACATTCCAACTTGTCATTGTCATTATTCTAACTAAAGTCGTTCTGTTATGTAGTTCCAGAGAAAAATGTGACTAAAAACCTGTTGAACGAACAGACTGACAATGTGATTGTAACATACTCTCATTCCTAGAGTGGGGTTATAATATAAAGTCATTCCTTTATACAGATGAGTAATATGTAACGAAGGTGATGGACTGACAAAAGGACAAGGTGATTGCAGTATAACACTCACTTTGTTTGTGGAGGTATTGATATTGTTCAGTATTACCAGAGACATGTAATACATTTAAGTCTCTGGTATTACCCTGAGACTACTATAACACTATTGTGTTATAGTAGTCTCAGTATTACCAAAGCAGGGATGAGGCAATTACATTGAAATGTTATTAATTAGATTAAACTTCAAAATTACACTACAAAAACCGTCAGTTAAAAAATAATTACACCATGTTTAGCAATGTAATTAATTAAATTACAATTTTTTTTTATCAAAATACATCTTAAAAACTATTTTATTAAATATGTTCATTTAAGTAATTTTCAGGATACTTGTATATGTGCCAATAGGTTATGCTTAGCTTGTGTATATATAAATAAAAAGATGTGGTATGAGCGCCAATGAGACAACTCTCCATCCAAGTCACAATGTATAATAAAATGCTTCGCTGGGGCGCAGCTTGATATGACCGCAGAGGTCGAACCCTGAACAGTTGGGGCAAGTATGGACACAACATTCAAGCTTGATACAGCTCTGAATTTGGATTGTTATTAAATATTTGACACAGCATAGGTTTCTGACACAGAAAGAATGTGGTCTAAGAACTTGAATTTTTTTAATTTACCTATTATGGTCCAATGTCCAAAATCAAAATACATGGTTAGATTCAGCATATCAAAGAACCCCATATATTCAATTTTTGTTAAAATCAAACAAAGTTTAATTTTGGACCCCAACTTGGACAAACTTGAAAACTGGGCCCATAATCAAAAATCTAAACACATGTTTAGATTCAGCATATCAAAGAACCCTAAGAATTCAATTTTTGTTAAAATCAAACTAAGTTTAATTTTGGACCCTTTGGACCTCAATGAAGACCAATTTAATAAACGGGACCCAAATTAAAAATCTAAAAACACGGTTAGATTTGGCTTATCAAAGAACCCCAATAATTCAATTTTTGATGAAATCAAACAAAGTTTAATTTTGGACCCTTTTGACCTCAATATGAACCAATTTGATAGCGGGGCCCACAAATAAAAAATCTAAATACATGGTTAGATTCAGCATATCAAAGAACCTCATATATTCAATTTTTGTTGAAATCAAACAAAGTTTAATTTTGGACCCCAATTTGGACCAACTTGAAAACTGGGCCCATAATCAAAAATCTAAATACATGTTTAGATTCAGCATATCAAAGAACCCCATATATTCAAT